GGGTTTAGGGACCCTAGGGATATGTTGGGGGTCTAAAGGGGCTATGAGGGTCCTTGTTGGGGATTATGTGGGGAACTGCTTTGAGAAAGAAGCTCTCAGTCTTCAATGTACGTGACTCGTAAGATCAAAAGCAGCCTGCTTGGTAGGGTTTAGGGTTTAGNNGGTTTAGGGTCCAGGATTTAGGGGGACACCTAAATGGACCGCAAAGGACTATAACCCTTGTTTGTTGGTACCCCTGCTTTGGAAACCCCCTACTTCTTGGGGGGGGCTGGCAACCTGAAACTTGAGGTCCAGAATCGATAGACTCAGAAGCATTGAAATCACTAAAACCCAGTCGCATGAGCAAAGTCCTTAACCTTACTGGTTGTTAGTGGGAAAAGGGGGAATATAATGCCTTTGTAATTAGTATATCCAATCTTCCCCACTAAGCAACAGTAAGTAACCAACCCAGCACCGCTTAAGTTCAGGATCCCCTTGTTTTAGAGATGTCCCTTTCNNGCCCCAAACCCAAACCTTAAAACCCTAAAACCCTAAACCTTAAACCTTAAATAAAACCGAAAACCTTAAACCCTAGACCCTAAACTCTAAAACCCTAAACCCCCAACCCCAAACCCTGGCTTGTCCAAGTGTTGAAGCCCAGAATCTCCCGCCCGCCTTCTTCCTGCACAGAGGCAGGCCCGTGAACTTGTCTGTGAACCTGCTGCTAACCTGATCCAATCCAAGTGATGTCTATGGGCATGCAGGGGCATCTATGGGTATCTGGGGGTCTCTAGCGTAATCTGTGGGTATCTATGGGTATGTCGGGGCTTATAGGGCAATGTAGGTAATCTATGGGTACCTAGGGGTATATAGGCCAAAACAGGGGGCCATCTCAAATTGTGAAGTCTACTCACTTCAAGGATATATGGCACTAGGAAGAACAAGAAGTCCATAGCAAGAGCACCGTTATGCGTGTCGGCTTAGGCATGCTCGGCATGCTTGACAGGGGCTCGTAAGTCATGAGACGCACTGAGGGAAACGTCACAGCTCAAATGTCTTCCAGCGGTGGTAGGAACAATAAGAACTATAAGAAGAAAAATATATATGGTAGTTTCCCAAAATAAGGGGACCCCAATATAGACCCCAGAATACTATAGTCCTTAATATGGATAACCCAAAAAGGTACCCCTAATGTTGGGAAACCCCCAAATTGTAATAGTGCTAGTAACGTCGAGTTGGGAGTGGAAGAATGAATCTCTAGCCTCTCCTTCATGATTCCCGCTAGAAGCAGTAGCGTGGTCTCCAAGACCTTTTCCCCCACCCCCTGCTAGGAAAACGCTGCAGCCAACAGGAAAGCGTAATCTTGCTGCAGATGAGGGACTACAGTATCCCCATATATGAGCTGTAGTCTAAACTCCTAGTATCCCCCTTAATGACCCCTATAGTAGTCCCCAATATAATTCCCTATATAACCCCCCTTTAAGGAGTTTAGACTATAGCTCATATATGGGTAAAAGTCTATAGCTCGCTGTTGCAGTAGTTTCAAGACTTTGGCATCGCTGTGATGGCTTGCACCTGGATCTCTACCAATGGCTACTCCAAGCTTTCAGGCTGATATACCAATCGGCCGGAAGGTCCCAGAGCCTTGAACCTTGCCTATCTTGATAGAATATTGGGGTATAATATTGGGGTTATAGAGGGATAATGGAAAATAAAATGGCAACTACTATTTAGGGTTTAGGGTTTAGGGGGTCTTTATGTCTCAGGCCCCAAGCCAACATCCCTACATCCCCGGATTGCTGGATTGCAGCTTGGTAGCAGCACCCGGCCACTCTGCAAGATGCCGGGGCTCAATTAGAGGCTCCATGGCAGATGAGCGCGGCCGCGTGGCTGTGATGGCTTTTGCAGGTGATGCTAATCTGGCTCGATGCCGTTTGGGGCAGAAGAAAGCTTGATTGTTGTCAACTGGCTAATTGATGGTAGATATACATGTCTACATGAACAATAGGGCTGGGGGCTCAGGCTGACAGTTTGGGGTTCCGTTGCCAGGCATAGCCTGCAGCCATGCGGCATGCCATGCTGGCGACATGCCGGCAGAGCCTGAAGCTTGCACGGGCGAGGGCTCACTGCAGGGGGCCACAAACAGGCCTTGCAAGTCTGCCTTGGATAAGACAACACCTTTAAGGCCACTAGATAAGGCATCAAGTCAGGAAATCCGTTTGATGGGCTCATGAATCCGACCTCATCACACCATAAGCCTCGCTTGGTGAGCTGTGTGATTGGCTGGTTTACGCGCCGGTTCCTTTTAAGGATCGCAGCCCACAGCTTTTCGACATGTAAAATACTTGAGTATGAACCCTCAGCCTCAGCCCTGCAGACCCTGAACACCAAACCTTCAGCCTTAAGCCCCAAACTGGGTGGCTGTTAAGGAATGTAAATTAATTTACCATAATGAGTATGTATATAACATAGTGATGAATATGGATTCCCCAATATATTAGCTGCAATTAAGTTCCTCAACAGCAACCCAGTTTAGACCTGTATAGATCTGGGCCTCCAGACTTAGGCTCCTCGCCATCAGACACCAGGAGCCTTACAAAGCGTGGGAGGACCTGCGTCAGGTTCATTGTCAGGTTCATCATTCAGGACAGTTGGATTCCCTAAACTACGGGTGTCCTTCGTGAGGTTAAGGAATTTCTCAAAATATCCCCCGTACTCCCCCAATATCCCTGGTGCCCCAAGGTACCCTATTTTGACAAACCCTGTTTGAAACATAGAGGCTTCCTGTCTTCTACTCTTCCCTCCCTCATAAGTTCGGAGGGTCGCTGTATATCCGGTCTCCCATAGTTCATCGCGGGAAGCGGAGCCAAGAAAGTTCGATGCCGAATGCGGTGTTTCTCATATTGGAGCATGCCTTCATGAACACCCCCAAGGCCCAGAAGCCGAGACCAACAAAGACACCTGACAAAGCTTTTACCCCAAATCATCCATGATACCAATTATACCTATTGTACCCATTATACCCACTGTACCCATGATACCCATGATACCCATGATACCCATGATACCCATGATACCAATTTTACCCATAATGCCCACGATACGCCTTCCCTGGCTTCAAAGGTTCATCTGAGTAGCTTTTTTTCGTGGTTAGACCCAGTAAGATTATCTTCCTTATATAGAATATTATACCCCAAAAGGAGGATAGAATCTTACTCTATATTGGGTACCATAGTCTCCCCAAATAAAATACAACCCCTATATAATCCCAGT